TTCTAGAACAGTTAGACATCACCTTTTCATTTTGGTTGATCTATTAGATATAGTGGAACGGTACTGTTTACTGGATTACGTTTCGGACATAGTTTATTGTCCATAGTCATATCTTGATATTCACAAACTTGTAAGTGAAATTTTGATATTGTTGACATGCAATTCTTCAATATGTCCATATAACTATAGGACTTGAAGAAGGAGAAGTTATCAAAAAGAATAGTCTTTGTTCACTCATATTCATAAGCTTGACTCAGTAAATAAAAAAGATTGGCTGAAAACAAATAGCGGTAGACAGAGTGGTCGATAAAAAAATAAATGTAAAACAAGAAAGATGGTTTTCTTTATCAGATACAGGGATATGATATAGTTTACGACCGATATAGTTTATCACACACGACTAACGTATGAGTCATAAAGTGAGTCTAATAACTCGGTCATTGAAATCAGTGGAGTTTGGCACTAGGAAGAATCATTGGTTGAACGAAAGAGACATCGTGAAAATAAGCGGAATACGTTCTTCTACGTTCAGAAACAGGTGAAGTTATAGACTATAAAAGGAATCTGTTAAACTGATGATGTTTATGTACACTAATTGCCAAACAGATTTATAAAAATCCAGTCACTGCTGAACAGAAATGATGTTTCACTAATATGCAGATGAATACTTCTAGGGACAAGCTAACAGAAACACGCTAATTAAAGACGGAAAGATAAATCAGTGGCGGAACCTGGAAGAGAAGTGAATCACTTATCACAATTTATAGCAGTTCGCAAAGAAGTAAATAGAAGAAGAAAATAAATAAACGGATGAAGAATTCATGGAAATATTCAAGACTTTGAAAATGACGAAGAGTGTGCACATATACACTATGGTGACCGACTCGAAACATATTAACAATAGGATAAGGGTAGAATAAAATAAATCACCTAGTAACCGTTAGGTTTAGCCAACCGAAATGGTATGATCTAAACACTGGGTTGTCATTTTAATCCTTTGGGTTCAAGCTCGTTATCAGTTTACCAGAAGAATTAGGTATCATAGCTCAACTGCTGAAATCAAACAAATATGACTCGCTGAGCTGGCTACTTGATGTACTGGTACGAGCTGTGGCAACTCGGACCGTTACACAGTAATGCCTGGTCCTATGTTGATGGATGAATGGCTGAGCTGGATAGACAGGTTACATACTGCATACAAAAACCTTACACAAATTAAAATTTATACTGTTGGAAGCTTTCTTTCTAATGACACAACTGTAATGTCGAGTGCGTTCCTAGTCATCACACCATATTTTGGTAGATAATATATCAGATCTTTTTGAACTGGTTAACGAAATCTGAAGATCCCTGTGAGTTGTTCCCGTTTACTTCCAATCATTCAATAATATACTTTACTACTTACTTCATGACACTAGTTCAAAGTTCTTCGTTCCAACTTGAACTGTGTTAGCATAAGAGTTCGATAGTTTAAAAACACAGTTGTGATAAGCATAACTGTGAATCATACATTTTGTAAGTAATTTTCAATTGATCCAGTTATTTGTTAATCACATTGTATCGAATCATATCAAAGCTCAGAGAACACCAAATCACAATCATCCTCACCCTGAGCTACAAATCTTTTCCATCGTAATTTTTTTCCTGGTTATTCTCTTCTGGTAATGACTGAAACTAGTAAGTTGAATAAAAGTTAGGTAGACCATAAAATGAATGAAGAATTGCCAGAATACCTAAGAAACTATGTAGTTTGTATTGTTATTGTTCAAAGGTGTTTAATTTTTCAAGCTACCAATTACGATTTCAGTAGAATACAACTTGGCTGTTAGTCATGCATTCTGATTATTGATCGGAAAAAGAAGCTCAAAAATGAAAACCAAAAAATATATGACTGAACAAATTAAGTGATAAGAAAACACTTACATAATGATCTAAAGACTCGCTAAATAGATAACGATAGTGTAGTTTCACTGATATGGAACTAAGCCTATTGCCGTGTCAGGCGAATTCTGCTAAACATGCAAGATTATTCATATATAAATTCACATGTAAATTTTTTGACCAGTTTAGATGAATCGGTATACCACAAAATATATGAATAACTTGTCAATTACATACAAGTACATGAACCAGTGTTTAGATTAGTTCGATGTGGCATGCGAAATCTGCAAACCAGAGTCATTTATTTCTAACGATCAAAATATCTGCCAGTGTGTATCATTCAGCGTATTTAATATAAAGTAGTTTTTAAGAAATAATAACAGCTGTGGAACTAGTAAAAACCTGGAGTAATTGACGGTCGTTTCACTGTAATCTTGGGATCCTTAGCTGTGCACTGTTTACTACATACATACTTCAGTGGTCCTCCGAATGATGTTATTCCGTGATGAAAACTACATCAGAGTCAGTTAATTCCTACAAAATTTCAATTTTGCTTTCAATAACCCTAATGAGATCATCTTTTTAAATTATATGAATGTTAACTAACAGGGATACCTATGAATCGAGGGTACTGAAATATAACTCTTCTCCATCAACACTTCTATTCCATGGGAAAAGATCTTTCTTTTTTGAAGGCGGCATTTAACGTGAATAATAGAAGGATATATAAATATTCGTCTCTGATACTGTGGGCACAATATACGTCAAGACTACCAACTGTTTTTAAACTTAACCCTAAACTGATATTCATGCAATCGTTGTGTAACAGTTCAGATTGAAACCATAGCAAGCTTGCTAATACACTGCCCTGGAGCTTAGTGTAAACCAACATACATTATCGACTAACCCACTACACAGTGAGGAATGTTTTTCGCTTCAAGACTAAGTACAATACTCCCTAACTGACGAGAATTCAGCAGTGAAGTTAAGTTTGAACTTTGTCCAAATGATTAAAATTCCTAGCACCTATTTCAATAAGCTGTAGTTTCTCTTTTGGACTGATATTACGTAATATAGGAAAATACGTGGAAAATAATTTCAACGAATCCGCTGAAAAGAAACACTCAGGAAATAAATATATGCGACATACTTTGTCTCCCAATTGGCATCTGTATAGAGAATTTCCCATTTCCGTAGTTTTTCATTCAATTTTTCAACGGTCAAATATGTTCCATTTGAACGTATATTGTTACGTGGTGATGCAGTGACAAATCGCACCTCTACAGTATCATTTTTCTGTCAATAAAATGTGATTGAAAAAGATTTTCGGTGATATTTAATTGATACAGTATGATATGATAGTAAAATAATTTATTATCACCGGTGTAAAACTCTCAACATATAAACTACTCAAATCTGAAATGTAATTGGTGCGAATTAAAGTGGCTGCATAACAACTTATCATTCAGATCCAAACAGATCAAGTTTGATTGTTCCCAGAGGACTGGATTCAGGTTCGTAAGATAGGCAAGCCATCATGTAACTTTACTGGAATGAGCAGACGTTCAAACTGCCGCAGCATAAAAGCTGGGTAGTGAACGGGAAAGAAATACAAAGTAGAATATACAGAGAGAGAGAGAGAGAGAGAGAGAAAATAAAGAGATGAAGATCATCAACATGTTTAAAATTTATAAGAATACAAAGTTGGAATTTTTAAAACTGCACGCTTGAGTTTGGGAGATATAAACCGTCGACCAGCTTGTTCAGGTAGCTTATTCAAAACTATGAGGCTGATTTCAGTCAGTTACACTCCTCCCTTCACACTACTGCTTCATTATAAGTACAAAACGCTGCGGTAAACTAAAATACATCAGTATTAGGTGGAGTCAGATAATAGTAAGAATCACCTGGAATTCAAATAATCTAGATATTCGTGATGATTTTGCATTCTCTGCGGCAAATAGTTCAGTCGTGAAGCTTCCTTTGTTTGTCATCGACAGTAACCTCAGTGTCGACGTCAATTCCATAAGCACTCTCCGTAGTTTTAAAATCTAGTTATTTTTTGTTGAGTTCAGAATTATGATTGCAGCCTAGTTGCTCATGGTTATGAAACAGTTCATGACAGTATTTCAGTTACTTTTTTCGGAATACTAATACTCAATAAGATTGAAGTACACCCATGTAGGTTGTAATATTCGCTACTAAAAAAACCTAATCATTAATATAGGCCACTTGATTTGATGTAAATTTATCTGTTCCATAATATACTACTGAACAACCTGAGTAGTTAGAAACCGTTCAAGCTGACCTGTAGATTTCCCCAATCAAATCACAGTCATCTATTTACCAAACGGCCGCTTCGCTCGTTATGACACTGAGTTCATTGGAAAAAACTGCTCAGCTCTGATAAATGTCAACGTGGACAGAGCAGGTTGTAAAACATTTGCAAAGTGAACATCCTATTACTTAGTGGACATTTCACATAGTGAAACAGTATTATTGACGGGATTAGACTTCGAGCACAATTTATTCCACATCTTTCACACCTTATGTATGTAGCACAACTTCACCCTCCAATTCATTTATAGTCCTGTCCCTTCATATTATTCGCTTTTATTGGTAATAAAGTTTTCCATACCTCTGGTATAGGTGTTGCATCATTACTATCTATTACATGTATTGAATGTTGATTCAATTAACAAAGACTCGGTAATCAACCTCTCTCTACACCTAATTATATTGGTGGTTTTATCCCACTCTATTGTGTGGTTATGTGCTAATCCATATAACACAATAACTGAGTGCTCCTCTAGATTATTGATCTTATTAGGGTCTGCCAGTCGATATTCATCTAAACTCCTATGTTCCACTAATCTAACTAACCCCGATCGGCTAGTTTCACCTATGTACTTGATATCTCACAGTCATTACATGGAATTTGATAGATTAGATTATTTTGCTGAATTGGTTCTATCGGATCTAAAGCCAGCCGAAAAGCTTATCTCTAAGTGAGTTTATGGGTTTAAATGCCACCCTAATTCCAGCCTTGTTGAGGATCCTACATCAAATTTCTCTTGCTTCTTCCCCATATGCTAACACAATAGAGGCTTCCAACTCTTTCCATTCGTGTTCTCGTCATCATTCTTATTCGTATTACTGTTATTAATTTGTTTCTTACGTGTTTCGACGAATTTCTGAATAAGAAATAAAGGATAATTATTGATTGATAAGGCTTCTTTTATGTGCTTAGTCCCTTGCTCAAGTCCTTGAAATGACCAGTGACTTTTTTTAGCTCAATCATTCAGATATTTGACTGAACCCACCTTAACTGACATTAGATGAGATGACCTGAAGTCTAGATACCTGTCAGAATGTGTCAGTTTCCTGTAGACAGAGCATCCAAACCACTGTCTGTCATTCGTTTCACTCTGCAATCCAACATAGGTAATTCTCTTTGTTCATTTTTTCACCACGTAAGTGAATTGGATTGCAACCACTACTGAGTTCATATGTGTATGGAAACTGTCAACATATTCTGATTTCAACACAGTTATTGTGTCACCTACATATCGCCATCAAATCTTAGGTTCAGGATTAAACGTTCATAAAACCATGTTTTCCAAACAATCCACCAAAAAATATCCTCTGCGATTGAGGATATTGGTGATCCGGTTGGTACTATTCCTGTCTGTCTATATATTTTGTCTTGAAACTAGAAGACTAAGGTCAGTCACAACTGTACGCATATCAGGATTTCATCAACCGATATTTTAGTTCTATGAGTAAGTTCTGAGTCACTATTTAGTTGATTTCTGAGCGTCCCCAGTGTCAGATTGATTGGTATTTTAGTATGAAGACTTGTTACATCAAAACTAACCATTTTTCATCCTCTTCTATATGCTGGTCATTAAGTCTTAGTTTTAACTCATAAGAACTGACTAGGCTAGTATTAAGCAAAATAGTCCTGTCTATAAATTTCCATGCAATGGCTGTAAAGTGAAGTATACAGGTCATACTAGCCGGTCAGCTTCCTAAGTGCTTTCCAGAAGTTTAGGATATTTATTTCTATCAATACCATTTTCAAGAAAAGTAACCTGAGATTTCAGCAAAGCAAGTTTGACAGAACAGCCTAGAAACTCATTGAGTTCCTTAGAAGAAACTATATTCGACCAATTCTAAAACACTGAAGCGTCATGCACTTAATCTTATTGATGCCATTTGCTCTCGTGTTGTTGAATCAAAGCGGAATATATTCATGAGAAGTCATGCTGTTTATAAGTTATTCACTGATAAATGCAAACAGTTCAAGGACTGTGTCATTACAGCCGTAGAAAATCAGTCTCAGTCAGCCAATCTTAAACATGCCGATGGTTTGAAGCCAGTTCAAATATGGAGAAAATTTTCCGAATAATCTAGAAAAATATGTGTTTAATCACTCTGATGTTAATCTTTCGAGAATTCAAATGCAAGCCCAATCGCTTGTCTCGGAGCTCTGCAGCAGCACATCCAAGGTTAACAGATTGCATACCCAAGTACAATTTGAAAATTTAATCAGTCAGATTGTCAATCTTATGCCTGCATCGCCACAGGAATTTCAGCATTTCAAGTCCACTGTTCTTCACTGTTATCATCAATTTACCAACTCCAAAATTAGTTGTAACTCTTTATTGACTAAAAGGCACATACAACAGCTTAAATTAATCAAAGATAACAGCGATATTATAATAAGCCGTCGTGATAAAGGAGGCGTTGTCCTAATGAATCGTCATGAGTATATTGATAAACGTTTTGTAATTCTCTCTGATCACATTAAGTTTTCTAAACCTGTAGGTGAGTCCAACAAGACACATATAATTGAAACACAATTCACAAGTGTCTTAAGAAGGATGAGGGATACGTCAATAATTGGCCCCAATTTATATGAACGTATCAAACCAGTTGGTTTCATAACCCCACATCTATATGAACTAAGATACATAAAGCGGGATTACCTCTTCGTCCGATCTTGGATATGGCTGGTTCTCCTTATTACCGAACTGCTCAATGGTTAGCTGAAATTATGGAGCCTGTTAGAAGGCATGTGTCGAGTTTTTCTATCCGTGATACATTTCAGTTTATTGAGGGTATTAAGGCTTTTAATGCTTTAGACAAGATGATGTTTTCATTAGACGTTACTTCGTTGTTCGCGAACGTGCCACTCACCGAGATTGTCTGTTATATATGTGACTATATTGATGCATTAATTTAGACGTAGGACCAACCAGCTGCTTGAAAGAGCTTTTGTTGAGGTGCACATTTAATGTCCAACTTAGTTTTAATAATGAAATCTATAGACAGAAAGAAGAAATTGCGATGGGGTCACCAATGGGGCTACTGTTAGCTGACTTTTTCATGTCGAAACAAGAGGATTCTCGACTTTATCGAATTATTAATAGCTTTGACTTTTATAGAAGATATATGGACAACACGTTTTTTATCTGAAAGAAAAATGTTGACCTAAACAGTGTTCTTCGTTTATTCAATGGATGCCATCCAACCCTCAAGTTTACCACAGAGAAGGAATCAGAATCAACTATTCCTTTTCTTGATGTGCTCCTCAACCAATGTAAGAATGGATACCTCAAAAGATCCATCTACAGAAAAGCAACATGGAACGGTCAACTAACAAATTTTTATAGTTGCATGTCTATCAACAGAAAAAGAAATCTTATTCACTCTCTCTGCTATCTGTAGTGAAGATTGTATTGATGAAGAGTTATCCTTTTTAAAAAGCACACTTGTCAAAAACAGTTACCCTGGCCGTTTTATTGATAAAAATATGTTAGAAAAATATACTAAACCGGCCATCCACTCGGTCTCAAGAAAAGATTGTCCATGAGCCTAGAATTTAAAGGTGACCTAGCATCAGATGTACTAAAGAATCGTCTACGAAGATTATTCAATAGAACTTTCTTCGCAGCGAGACTTCAATTGACTTTTACCAGCCGTAAACTATTCTCCGTTTGTGTTAAAGATAAGCTTCCTCGATTGGCCGCCTCTACGTGCATCGACCATTTCACCTGCTTTTGTGCAGCAAGGTAAATCGGCATTGCTAGAGAATTCTTTCTACACGTATACGAGAACATCTTCCTGATTGGCTTTATAAACGTGAAAGAAAGTTTGTTAGAAGTTCGATTCTACAACATTTGATTGATTTCCACCATTCAAAAAACTCAGACAATGACTTTGAAATTATTTATCAAATTCGCCTAAACTTACTACTTTTTCTTCCTTTCCAACTTCTTAAAACAGAGAAGGCTTTAACTATTCATAAGGCAAAACCTGATCTGTGTGTACAAAAGAAGTATGTATGGTCACTGTTTTTATCATGGCCATAACATTTTCCCACCCCCATTAGCTTCCCCTCCCCCTTTGTTAATTTAACCTTTGTATCCTTCCTTTACCACTATTATTGCGATTATAATTACCTTTACTTTGATTCGGTTCTGGTGTCATTTCACTTAATTGTCTTAATCTTTTCATAAAACATTGATTTCATCTTGACCAACTTGTCTAATACTGAACTGATTTACCTTCTGAGTTATATACTTTCTATGAACCATTTCATATATTATGTAATCTACTTTGTTATCATTCATACTTCAATTGTTATCATAATCGCATACGCCTATGACGTCATCCGTTTTATTATAATTATCATCATTATCATCATATAGTGTTTAGTTTTCCTCATGGGATATAATTTTTCAAATATTATGTACATACGATTGTACAGCTTGAAAATTTAATTCGTTGAAGAGTCTATTCGATAGATACAAATAAGTCTAAGTGACTTGATTATCCAGTCGTGATAAGACTACAAAAATCACATGATTATGAGCAATAATTTATGATCGAAACGTCATCAAGTAAATAATACTGTATCACTGTCCACTATAGATTAAATGAACGAATCTAATATGGAAAAATTAAAGAATATCACGGTGTAAATATTCTACAGAAAAGATACAATTTTCTGTATGAAGCCTATTGCACTGGCAGTATATTTCATTCGGAATTGTAAACCGTCTATGTCTGTATACTGAACTTATCTCAAGTCGGATTAAATTCATTTCTTGCAAAATTCATTCCAAAAATTTACGAAAAAAAACGTATATTGGCAATTTAGTTAGACTGAGAAGATTTGACATGCCTAACTTAAAATGTGAATTGTTTCAGATATATTGCATAAAAAGTGTTCCGTAGTATCCAAAGAACTATTCATCAAGTATGATCGTGTACGTTATACTAAAATTCCTTTCAATTTTTTAATTAAATTTACATTTTTGGATTTAACAATCTGGGGATTATTTTATGAAATATTATTCATATTGGACATTTCTCTGTCCAGATTACGAATGAATTATAATTTCTACATTGTATGTCCAACCAGTCTATGTTGTGTATGCTTCCTATGTTGAATTAAGTAGATATTATGAGGGTACAAAATGAATAAATAAAAAATTCAGCGCTAACATTAACGCTTTGGAATAGTAAAGTACACAAATTAGAATAGAGCCTATCTCTGGGCAAATCTTTAGCTGAAACATTCATACTACTCATTAGTAGTTGATATCTACATGCGACATTGCATTAGAACTTATTGCTGACAGCCTAATCTTTAGAATACAGTTCTTGTTATTTTACAAAATACTTTAAGAAACATGATCTCATCTCAAAATCTTGAATTAACTTTATACCTTGTTTATTCCACCTTTCAATCACTATATTTTATACAAGTAAAGACACATAGAGAAGATGGGTTTGAAGCTAAAATCAATGGAAGAAATACCGTGAAGGGTGATCTAGTGAAGCATTTGTATTCAGCCTCTAATCTTCTCTGCATTTTTTAACCCATTATTCTTCTTACATAAAGGTTATTAGGACCAGTAATAAATTTATAATGTCATGTATAAACTGACTGAAAGACTCATGATCAATATCCGTAAAAATTATTAATAAACGGTGAATACCTGAAATATTTTAAAGTAATGTCTTACAATTCTCAAAAAGTATTGTTGGGAATAAATTCCCATTTCTGAAGTGAAGGTAACACTAAACAAAAATAAGACTGCATACACAGATATGTTACAGCATGCCTAGCTGTTAAACCAAAATCTAGAAATTTCATATGAAATAACGGTGTTTTGAGTTGGTGTTCAGACCAAAATAACGATATTCCAAATTTCGTCAACTTTTAATGCAACAGTAGTATTTCAGAAACTAGTGTTTTAAAATCAATTTCGAGATGGTTAAAGTTCCCTGACAGGTAGTCGTAGAACCAGAGTTTCAGGCTTGTTTGTGACCGCAATAAGTCTTTTCTGCAACCTCAGGAAAGCTAGAGTTAATTTAGTGATCCGAATTTGCTTAATTCAGTTTTGTATACAGAGATACGAACACCTAGCTGGTCAAATATCCCTCGGACAATATACTGAAAGATGTTAGTCATAGCATTTTATCACCTGAATTCTTGACAATAGCTTTGCATTTTGTACTAATGATATTAAGTACTTACACATCGTAAGTTATAAACAACTCACATAACTCAGGTGGTGTCACGAAACTCCACTCTAAGTAAGCCATTAAATAAAGACTAGTTATCTATTATCAGTAACAGATCATATGCCAATGGTGGCCGTCTAATTTGGTCTAATCAACAACGGAGAATTGAAAGCTAAAACAGTAAAATTAACTGTGCTTGAGAAAGTAAAAATCTTACGTGACCAGATTATAATTTCAACTAGTTTAGTGTTAAATCAAAAAGAATGTAAAAATAACCATCACAATAATAACATTTATACGACTGCAGATCTAATGATTTTTAAAATAAATAAAAACTTACATTGTAATAAACTGCTTGTGGTTGTTTAAGTACACTGCCAAAACGTTTTCCAAGCGGTGCAGTATCATAAATGACCTTTGGCACAAGGCTTAGCAATTTTCCGACAAAGTATGGAGCTGCTGGGCCCGGATCGAGTTTTCTTTTCTAATTTGTAAAGGCAAAGAGATAAAGATGCACAAGAATGGTAAGTGACAAGAAAGACAATGAGGAATTGGTTAAAAAGAAAGAGGAAACTTTCCATTGCATAATAAGGTCAGGTAGTTTCACTTTACTTCAGAACTTCTCAGCCCTGCACACCCAGGAATCTTGTTTAGTTAGCGAATGAAGGTCCGGTCCAGCGATGAGAAGAAAAATGTAGTACTCGATTTCAAAGCAGTTATCAAATGACACCCTACCCACTAAAATGTCTTAAGGCTTAGGAAACGAGGTTGGTTAGCACTATGAAGTTTTAGAACGCAACAAAGCAAGTGTTCAGTGGCTTCTCCAATGTATGTAGTTTGTGGACAAAAACGATTATAATGTCTGTCATGGATAAGAAAAAGCAGTAAAATAGGTCGAATGGCGTTAATGACTCAAAATGCTATGAGTGTTGATATTGCATGCCTTCCAAAAATGTAATAACCAACTTACTCACCAAAATATCAGTTAGCTGCAGTACGTTTTCTCCTACAATTGATATGCCGTCAGGAATACTAATGTACTGAATAGAAAGTCATTTCCAATGGCAACACTCAGAGACCTTACGCAGCTTTCTTCAACTCTAGTAAATAATGTATGCCAAGAAGAGAAGTGGCTTTACATACTAAACAGTTATTTTCACCACCTTAAAATCATTTATCGTCTTTACTGATTAACTTGGAAAAGTTTTTTCACTAATCCTGATTGAACAAAGAGTACGGTTTGTAAAAAATATCTATATTGGATGTAGTTCGCCGTTCTGTTCACTTTTTCGTGTTATTTCTTATCAACTGAAGCTCATGTAAGTACAAAATAACAAAAGGAAGTAAAATAACCATTCTTTTTCCTCTGTTAAAATTGGTTTGACTTGTTCCTATACTTAAACAAGAGGAACGATATACTTCAGTAAAGCATACAGTTCTAAATATAATTTTTGAATGATAAACTGAATCATTTTATTTCTAGATATGACTCATGAGATTACAAATGCTGTGCCAGTTCGCTTCAATCTGATGGCTAAACATATACACGATCAGATGTTAGTTGGAGGGAAGCAGTCGGCAGGATGCTCTATGCCTCGATTTCGTTCATGTCAGCACTCTTCAGCAAGGCGTATCTGCAACGCCAAGGGAACTGATATCCGACCTGAGATTTGAACCTGCGTGATCCATTGATGTGGTCAGAGACGTTATATTATTTTTTTACCTTTGGGTTCCTAGTGGAACACAGAGCTTCAGTAGCATGCCTCCATTAAACTATCTTCTCTCTAGTCTTTTCAACCTCGCTCCACGGCTGTCGAGAAGCTCTCATTTTTTCCTCAAGTAATCTCCTCCATTTCACCCTCAGCTAGGACGCCCAACTCGTCGTTTCTTATTTGGATTCCACTCGAGGGCCTGGCCTGACGCATAATGTCCCCAGTTGGCCTTCTCAGTGTATGACCAATCCATCTCCACTTTCTGCTGCATATTTGTTGCTTGATAAGTTCTTGGTTGGTTCGTCACCAACCAGAGTTCCTTGTTGCTTATTCTTATTATTCTGGCCATCTGATCTTCAGTATAGAGCGTAAGCAGCTGTTGATGAATGTCTAAGTTTGTTGGAAATGCTTTTCGTGACACGCCACGTTTCTGAACCATAAGTTTGTGCGACATCAGACACAAGTCATCGGCGAAATCCAAATCTTCTAGGATCTTTACTCCAGTTCGGCGAATCCCCCTCTTCTCGTTCCTCACTGTTTGTTGCATGATCCAGTCCACTACCATAAGGAATATCAAGGGTGATAGTAGGCAACATTGTCTTACTCCTGACTTCACTTCAAAGGCGTCACTGAGCTTTCTATTGTGGATCACTTGGCATGTGGCCTTTTCATATAGCTGTTGAATGAGGTCGATAAAAATTAGTGGCACTAAAACCGTATTGTTTAGGCAACTGCTAAATTACTTCTCCGTCGACGCTGTCGAAGGACCATTCAAAAATGATGGGGTTGAGGTAGAGAGTTGACTGCCATTCTATGCTCTGTTCTATGATGATGTGTAGCGTTGGAATTTGATACCCACATGATTTGTTCTTACTGAAAGCAGCCAGCCTGTTCCGGTCGCAATTTCGAATCCGGCTCATTCTTTAGTCTCTCCAGGATGATGTGGCTTTTTTTTTGCTTGGAGTGGACAGCAGCATGATTCCGCGCCAGTTCTTGCAAAGGATTAGGTCTCCCTTCTTTTGGAGTATGACAAGGTAGCCGTTCTTCCAATCTATTGGCAGGTGCCTTTCCTTCCTTGCAAACCTTCTGCAATAGTGGTGTGAGCATGTCCGCTGTTGTCTCTGCGTCTGTCTTCAATGCTTCTGGTGGAATTCCATCTGGTCCTGCCGCTTTCCCGAATTTCAGCAGTTTTATAGCGTTCAGGACTTCATTTCTGCTCTTGTCGGAGGGCCAGTGTTCACTTGTAGTTCTGTGGCGGCTGCTGGTAGTATTTCCGAACGAGTGGTAGGCGGTGGTCGATTCAAGAATTTTTTGAAGTGGTCAGCCCATCGTTTCCTTTGTTTCCTCTTTGCTAACTCGGTTTCCTTTCATTGGTTTCGTCTGCGTTAATCTCTTATCTCCCAGATAGCAACCTGGTTATTTGATATAATGTTGTCAGGTCTCTATCTCTCCTACCAGCAGCCTGTTCTGCTTCACTTGCCAGTGTGTTGTAGAAGTGTCTTTTGTCTTTGCGCGCACTCTTCTTCACTTCCCTGTCCAGTGTTTTATACACTGTACTCAGTGCTTCTTTTCGTTGTGCATCCTTACACTGGTTCATCTTCTCCTGCAACAGAGACGTTAATACTGAGTTATTCGGACTGCGACTGATCTCTTGTGAGACTGGACTAGGCACAATGATTGATTACTCTCCAGTAACCATTCAATATCCGCAATTAGTAAAACTCTGGTTTATAGCACCTAAAAAGTATTAAATTAATTTTTCTCGAAAATCATCTCTCTAGTGACATTACATGCTTGAAAGAGAAAGTGAATATAAACATAGCTGGCTTACTTAGAAAGAATGGTTGATATTTTTTTTCTGGTAGACGAGGTGAAATATATTACAAGAAATTATGTTGTGTTCGGCAAATAAAATGCAATTAGTAGAATGGCACGGAGATTAAATTAACCCAAAATAATTTAGTTCTCACTGCAGTATCTAGAGTGATGTCAAGAAAACCATTTAAAACAAAAATTTCGGGAAAATGTAAATCAACAGGCCTTTTTCTATGCTCTATCCAATTTGCGTCATGGAATGGAGATTTAAATAAACAGCTTCACAAATTTACTTTTAAAGCTACACAACAGCACTTAGATGTACTAACCAGGGGTGATGTATATGTATATTACAAGGGAAACTATGTGTCTGAAGTAGTACAGTAGAAAATTTCAATACAATGTTTGAACGATACAACTAGGCAGGTTCATCATCGCCTTAACTCGCTTTTTATCGAGGTCTGGCGAACGAGAGATAAGACTATTATAGTGCTATATACAGGTACATCTAGTTAGTACTGGATATTAGGCTGATGCAAAAAAGATCCTTAGAATTACTTATCCACGATTTAATCTACACCAATTTTACAAGAATTCATAGAAGTAAGGCAAATATGCATCTAGTAGAGAAATTTGTACAACTTTTTTGTTTATCATAGCCATTCAGTATAATTCAGAATTTGTAGTGTATGTAAAGATAATGAGGAAATCTATTCGTACTCAACTTTAAATTTGTTGGCAAATTTTTCTTTTATGCCGCAGAATTAATGTCCATATTTGGACTAATTATTAAAATTATTCATTTCCCTATGATTCACTGTTAAGCAAACTATCAGTTACTCAACACTATAGTTTGACTTCATTCGATTCTTGAACTACTGTTTTAATTTAGGATTTGAATGTAACAGTCCTAAATCTATCTATAAAGCCCGCACCAACCGCTTTGGAAGACTGTAGAGCGGAGAGAAATATGTATTTTCGGGTCAATCCTTTTTGAAACCTCTTTCCGACAAAAGCAGCATATTGATGAACTGCTAGTCACACACAGAAAACACTTCATTACTGTCAACCGGCTGTATTAACTATTCTTCGAATCTTTATAATAGAGTAGCTATCGACACTGACGGTAACTGTTTTCAGTCTTACCACCATCAAACTCAAATTTCTGATATGATCAAAACCCAATGGAAATATTTTTCCAACCAGTATAGCTCTATGGGTCATTAAGATGTACAGGCCTGACTACTGATTCAAAATAGCAGCTTATGTCCAGGATACATGTCTTCGTTAGACACAGTTAACCAAAAAAGAAAACAAAAGAAAAGTATGGATGTTTTTGTTACGATATTCATATAGATCTTCATGACAGAATAGCTATCAACACTTTGACGGAAACTGCTATTAGTCTTATCACCATCTAACTCAAATTACTGATATGACATATATATATATATATATATATATATATATATATATATATATATATATATATATATATTCGATATATCTGACCACTGCAGTTAAGTATCCTTCGGAAGCTTTGCATATATTGCTCTTCTATGAGACTGCGATAGATCGGTCAACCAATTTGGCCTAATTCATCTATAGCAGTAAACATTCGAAGAAAATCTTACCTAAAATTCATTTACCAATGTTAACACAGTGAAGCAGGATTTTTACGAACAAGTCCAAATCTACAATTAATTTCAGTTTGAGACATTCACTAATCATACATGTCAAAAGAAAAGATGTTAAACTGAGGGACTGATTTTATCAGTAATGTGGTGATAAAAAAGACAAGAAAAGCTGACAATGCACATAAAAAGGGGGCTATATCCGATAAACAGAGCAATTGGATCAAGAATAACAACGGGAAATTGCATGTACCAATAAGTAATAAGGCAATAAATATTTAGTTACGATATGGATAAAAAAGATCTCATACTGAAACATATAACACTTAGTTACCAATAACAATCGAACATGATTATTATAAAACTCATTATAACGAATTGCTTAAAGCATACTTGAACTAACGACCAAGTTAATTTAGCGAACTGTTGTACGTAAGCAGGAAGTGTATACTGACCATAAATAGTTGATGCACCCTCATACCGTTGAAGCTGTAGTTGAAAAGAAGGAAAAGGGACCAGGACTAGATTAAAAAGGCATTTAATAACATATATACCAATTGACTGAAAAATGACGATGCTGCTCTCGATTCCTCATGGTGTCATGGATGCACACTGCTTACAAGTCCCAAAATGAGAAGAAACAGCTGGCAAGTTCCCTATGGTTTTCAGTATTTATTATACTGGTGTTACTGTAGGATGAAAACCACACTGAAAATCAGAAGTTTAATTTACACGTTTCATTATGTATGTCATCTCATGCACGCTGTTCAATTAAGCAGTTCTCCACCATTGTCAAGCTTCCAAAAACGTGTGCCATCCATCAATCCAGATCAACCTAGGATCAGGCATTACTGCGTAACGGTCCGAGTTGCCACACCTCATATCAGTACATCAAGTAAAAAGGCAGTGAGGCTCAAGACGCAGATAAAAGAACGCAATCAGAAGAAATATAAAGTACGAAAAGAGAGAAACGAAGAATGACAAAGTGGTGAGATCCGGTATAGCGTCGTTAAGATGAGGATAATATGTGCATACACCTGCGCCACCGACATCCGTTCTGAGCCATATCATCTGGAGTCTCCAACCACTGGTTCCTCTTGTCCCGCAAACCCCAACCGACTAGTCTGCATTGCCCCACATGGCTCAAACCAACAGTCAAAGACTTTATGCACAACCTCGTCGACTGACTTACCTCTTCTCCCTAAAACTCTACACCTAACTTCTGCATTACTCACATGGTGACACCACGGAATACGTCCTATACTACGAAGGCAACGGTGGTCAAACACCTGAAACCTTTTTGTATCCTCCACTTTCAATGGCCATGTTTCACAGCCATACAGTAGAACAGAGCGGACTGCTGTGCAGTACACGCGACCCTTAATAGACAAACGAATATCACGGCGGCGCCATAGGTGGCGCAAATTGGCAAAAGCCAATCGAGCCTTTTGTATCCGTGCAGAAATCTCATCGGCAACTAACCCACCGGAGTTGATCCTACTTCCCAGGTAAGTGAAGTGGTCAACACACTCAACCACTTCACTCTCTATTGTTAACCGCGGTACCGCTGAAGACCAGTCCTGGAGCAAAAATTTGCATTTGGGTGGTGAAAATCGCATCCCAAACATTCTCAAATTCCCACTCAAAGTGTTCAGAAGACTCTGCATCTTGTCAGCGTCTTCACCTAACAGGACTATGTCATCTGCATATTCTAGATCTAAGGAAAATTCACCTGTGATCCGGTCAACGTCTTTGTAATTAGGTGACGAGAGGGAAACCTCCATAAGAATATCTATGATAAAATTAAATAAGAATGGGGATAGTGGGCATCCTTGACGGACACCACTTGATGAGTATAGCTCCCTGGACAACTCACCATAGGCTCTAACATGCCCACAAGTGTTCGAGTAGAGAGCTTTCAATAAGGTGATGTACTTACTAGGCACGCCTTTCAGTGACAGACACTGCCATAAGACTTCTCGATCAACGGAGTCAAATGCCGCCTTCAGGTCGAGAAATACAGCTATTGTCGGGCGTCTGTAAGCATGCCTATGTTCCAGGACCTGGCGCAGTGTGAATATTTGGTCGATACATCCACGGCCAGGTCTAAAGCCTGCCTGGTTTTCTCGGGCTTGCTGTTCCCGAGCTCCACTCAGGCGTCGGAGAATTATAGAACTTAGGATCTTAGACACTATGTTTGTCAGGCTGATTCCTCTGTGGTTATCACAAGAGGACTTCTCGCCTTTCTTGAAGACTGGGATGATCAGTGACTTAGACCAGTCGGAGGGGATCGTATTTGATTCCCATATACTGGCTAACACTTCCGTTAGCCTGACTAAGAGAACTCTACCACCATTCTTGTATACCTCAGCAGGTAGTCCGTCTGGTCCTGCTGCCCTTCCCGTTTCAGGCTACCTACCGCTTTCTCAACTTCTTCTAGTGTTGGGGGACCTGTCTCTATGTCCCATTCAGGGTCCGACTGGATAGCGGGCAGCGCAATGGTGGCTGGAGGCCAGTTAAACTGTTCCTCAAAGTGTTCTGCCCATCGTCCCAGTCGCCTTCCCTGCGAGTGAATCGCCGATCCGTCCTTCTCCGCTATAACCTCACTAACTGTTGTTGACCATTTCCCCCCAGTCTCCTTAATAAGTCTAAATAACTGTCTACTGTTACCGATCGCCGCTGCCTTTTCCATCTCTTTAGCCTTTGCTGCCCACCACTGTTCACGATCGTTGCGCAGACTTTTCGTCAGTCTATTTTTAAGTTGCGCTCGCTCTTCATTGTACTCAGAGCCTGCAGGGATGCATTCACGTGCATCCATTAGTTTGGAAGAAGCTGCTGATATCCACTGGCTCTTTTTAGCCATTATCTTGGAGTCGGCTACAGTCTCCAGTGCTGCTTTTACAGTAGACTGAAGATGGCACCAAGCTTCTTCTGGATGAGTGACAGTCTTTTGTTCCGATAACTGCCTAGCCAACTTCTCACTGAACACGGCTTTGGTGTTTTCGTTGTCCAGCAGCACTCGTAGTGGTTTTGTTGCCAAATTTTTTCTACGTCCATTGAGACGCAGGCATATACGTGCTCGGACCAACGCATGATCGCTGTCCAAACACGTACTCCAGAAGGAGCGGCAGTCTTCCACCGATCCTCTCCAGCGATGACTAATAGCAATGTGGTCTATCTGTGTCCATCGCTGAGTCGAGCTCGGTGGACGCCAGGTCAGACAGTGCCTTTCTTTATGTCTGAAATTTGTGCTGGCTAAAAATAGGCGGTTATCTGAGCATAGTTGTAATAGGCGATCACCGTTATCTGTACGTTCAGCTGGGATTCCGAAAGTGCCACCTAAGTGCCTTTCTGCCTCACTCAGTCTACCCACCTGTGCGTTGAGGTCACCTGCAACAACCACTACGTCCGAACGTTTGGCTTTCGAGAGGAGGTTAGACAGTTTATGGTAGAACTCGTCCTTCACTTCATCCGAACTACAGTCAGTGGGTGCGTAAGCAGAGATTACAAAGAGACAACGGCGAGTCTCACTATTCCTTTTAGTTCTCACTGTGCCGTTCAGCCTCATAGCGCAGAGGCGACTATCAACTGGGATCCAGTCTAGTAGTGAGTTTTCTGCCCTGGTGCTTAATGCTATACCTACACCTGCAAGACCACGAGAGCTAGCTATCGAATCTCCAGAAACTCGAAGGGTGAATTTTGCAGATTCACCAGATTGGTCAGGAGAGGTCAGGTGAATAACCACACTTGGGTCCTGTATGCGTGTCTCACAAACACAGCACACATCCATGCCCGAGTTGCTAGAGTCTTTGCCAACGAAGCCTGTTGGCCAATTTGACGGAGGGTGCGGACATTGAAGGCTCCAATATGTAATTTGGAGCGTGGTTTAAGGAGACCAAGGATGCTGTTCTGTGGACTCAGATCGTTGTCGAAGGCTGCAGAGGTAGGAGAAATTGAAGATGATGCAGCATCATTAATTGGAAGACGTGAAGGAAGATTAGAAGGTAATGATGGAGGAGGTGGATAGCAGTCAGAAGAAACTTGGGTGCTGACAGAGTTGTGAGGGCGGTTGACACTTCCCGACTGCCCACACTGTGGTAGGCTATGTCTTCTTAAAGTATCTGAAAGAGATTTGTGTGACTGCAGTACCTGTCGGACATCTGCTTGAGGCCTGTTACACGAAGCCTTTTGTGTGATCATTTTGATTTTTGTTGTTTTGGGGCCGGATGGTCGAAAGGAAACGGCAAATGAACCAACACCGTTGGCCCGGCAGACTGTGAGGTACGGTGGAGTATGTTATTTTTGGGGCCGACCTTTTCTAACCCCTCCCACCTCCACTTCCACTGAGAATGCAGCATCAGCATAGCACTGCTGGTCATCCAAGGGAAACATCTTACTGCTGTCACACCTCATCCAGATAGCAGCAGTACGACTTCGCCCTCAGATTCCCATCATAGTGTAGTAATTTACACCACAACGGTAACTGCTTTTCGTCTAACCGCTATCCAACAGACCTTTCTGGTATGGTAGGACCTCGAGGGAACAAGTGTTCCACCAGCATAGCTCTTTGGGTCATTGTGATATGCAAGCCCGACTACCACGTCAAGGTAGCAGCTATCGGTCGTGTGCATAAAACAACCGATTATACAAGAACTACCGATTAAGCGAAACACCCAAATCTCTGCATAAGCATTTTTAAAGGCAAAGCATTGTAGGGGTACGATATCGATTTCTTGTAGTGAAGCTGAAGCTGGCTCATGGGTCGAGTTCGACTGTAGCTTCTTCAGTCACTTCATCATCCAATATTGAATTCATTTACTTCAAACATCACAATGTGATGCAGTTTTATTCGTTGGATGATGTTTAAGATACAGCTCATTGTTCATAAGTCATATGACATAGCATAACAAGGAAGATAAGTTACGTCAAAAAGGTTACAAGTAAAACGATATACTAAAGATGCTGTGTGCCATTTACCGAATGAATAAACCGACACAGAATTACGCTGTAATCCACAGGGCTCAAAATCTACCTTTACAGTCATAGCGAAAATTATCTCTACAAATAAACAAGGGAGAGATTCTCGACCAATCCACTGTAAACAAAATATCAATAAGCAGTTCACTTGAATAAGCCTTGTTTAAAAGTTAAGCTGTTTCATTACATCTTTGAAAGCCTAGATGAATGTAATAGTGTAATGAAACTCATAGTTCGAATATAACTATTCTTAAATTTCATATCTGAATGATGCTTATTTAGTAGGTTGTGGCTAGCAGAGGAATCCAGAACGAGCGTTTCGTTCTATTTATTACTCTTCAGCTGGGTTCTGAAAAACCAGTGAGTAAGCAAGGGATCTCTGACGCATGGACAGTGGATTTTTTTCAGAATACTACCTCATTATAATAATTACGTGTACCTGATCATACAAGATAGTTGAATATTACAGACAGCAAGCACATGACAATTTGGTTTGATTTCAGTTTACAACTTTTCATAACTGCTAGATGTGTGCATGTATATGTGTAACACATTTCCCCGGGATTAATTACATCACGCTCCTACGTCATATAAGGCATAAAAATGATGAGATTTAAATATAGGCATGAAAATTCTCTCAGCATTCGACTCATTTCTTCTACTATATTGAACTACTTTAAAGTATATCAACTTGAATCAATATATAGTTGTATTCGGCGTACTATGGTTGTTACATCTATCTATTAATTTATCTATCCTGATAAAGAATGTGTCAACCTTAGCGTTAAATAACTATTATTCTAAGTTTCGTAGCCAGTTTGTGATGTATCGATTCAGTGGTTTAACATGTAAGTACAACAAGATTAAGAGAAGATGGATAGGTCATCAGAATGTGTAATCCTGGTATAAAAGCTGACATCTTAGATGACCAGTAAGCATCACTACTAAAATTTTCAGCTTATTGGTTGTCAGTTTTCAAAGTTTCACGAGATAATGTCAAACTGGATTGACAGCTTTCTTCATACTGCCTGTGGTTACCAACTTATACAAATATCCACGCATACCGATCATCTTCATTACTATCTCGATGACGATGAATGCACGCAGTTTAAAACTATCAGTGAACACGTATAAAGATATATTGACTTTTCTTTCAAAAAGAATTATGGTTCCACAGTCTAGCTAAAGTGAAAACAAGTTATCACTACTACTTACCTGATATTCTTCAGTAGTGGCAATATAACTGGAATAAACATTTGAAAGTCCAGCAAGAATTACTTCATACTGACTATTACCACTCGACTGATACTGGTTACGATTGGTGGTATCAACAGCAACCTAAATTGATACAAAAAGAAACAAACCGAAAATGGAATAAATAAACTTGGAAAATATGAAACGTTAGTGCGACAAAAGGGTGAATGACTAAATAACTTGGGCAGTATATAAGAATATTGTATTCCTTAAAAGTTGATTCTTCTTTTATTGTAGATTTCAAAACTAAATTGAAATATTACTATTTGTTGATGTACTTGTAGTTCTTAGTTGTTATGATGGACCGAATTGATTGACCTCTTTTGGCACATGAGCTCCTACGTGGATGCCTTGATTTTGTCTGATAATTTTTTGATCTACCTGGTTGTGGCTAACACTCTGTACTGGAGTGCAGGTACATTCGGAGGATGAGCCTTAAATAGGATGAAACTCGTGTCTGAGATTACTCTGCTAGCCACAACCAAGTTAACTACCATAAATTGAAATACGATTACAAGAATTTTGATAGCACGTAGGTACTCATTGTTGACCAAATTGGACAAGGTGAGTTCCTTTAACCCATTCGTCTAACAGATGTGCTGTGGAAGAACACTGATGTGTCATTGTGACTAAAAGTTTCGCACTCATATTCATAACGGTTATGTAATAACTCAGCAATGAGTTGAAGTCATGGGATCGAGAAGGTTACCGGAGTTTAGTCGAACTGATATGCATGAAACCAATATCACCATCACCATCAACACCCTATAATAAACATCAATGAAACGCTGAATGGATTTTTTTTATTAAAATTTATCATCTAACATATCCAGGTTAGTGTGTAAAATATACCCGAGATACTTTATCCGGTGTTGTAAGGCCACCTTACTTATCAAAAGATATTGAACAGTCTACGATAACAAAAATATTGACTTTTCTTAAGGAAACATTTGCACTGGAAACTGAGGACATTACTGCAATGATGGAAATCAGCCACCGAAACTCATCAGATGTTCAAATATAACAAAAAAATATAGCAAGTGCGGTCATTCATCTTTACAGTAACAGTACAATAATGTTGTGAATTTTGTGACGCATGCTTTTGCCATAGGAACGTTTATCTCATATTCCACAACTCCAACAGTATTGTAGATTTCAGTTTAAAACTCGTAATGCGAATAAATCCTATTAACGTAATAGTTTTGAACAATTTCAGGACTTCATGAAGTGTGATATTAAGATAAAGCATAACACAGACAAATAAAAAAAGATACGTATTTTCCCATAGGACAGCAAATTAACACTTTCATGGTGTAACTCATAACTGATGTGAGTCCCTCATGAAAACTACCTTGGAAATTAATTTGTCTCCACAATTTATCAACTGAATTACTTCCAGTGCTTTCAGACTGACTTCATGAAGTGAAAATGAGAAGCGGTCGTGACCTGTAGGGTAAAGTAAGTCGAGTGGGAAGACAAACACTTACCGATGGCATTGTATGATGATGGTCACACCACACTGGGAACTGATAGAAGTAGAAAAATGTGAGTGATTTCGTTTCAAAATAGTAGATTAGTGGTAATGTACTCGTGATGATAGCTCAATCTCTTGCATGGTCATGAATGGACACTATAGGGGAATCTGAAGCTGAAAAGAAACAGCTATCCAGGGACTCACAGTCCGCAATGAGAACTGCCTTGACACTAATCAGTCTGCACAAACTCCTAACTGGATAGAAGTAAATGAGTTGGATTTGAGAAGAAAATATGTTGAATAGTTTGGCAGAATGAATATGTATTCGATGCACTCATCATCAAGAAAAAGAACCGTTGTAAACTATCTCAAAATTTCAATCACTAAAAATGTCATGCTATGCTTTAAATGCCATTAAAAAGAGATTTACACTCTGATGATCTGCTTGTAAAACACTTAGATTATTGCTTAGAGTGAATGAAATGATGATGACAGCATACAGCAATGTAGTGCTGTTTACTGTGTCATTTAATACTGGAAACCTTATTAGTTACTTTAAAAATCGTGCCATGTTTATTGCATGAAAACCAAAAATTATAACATACATATTTGAGTTTCTCCTTCAATCATCAATTTTTTCGAAATGATCAATAATCACTATCAAGGCAGAGTAAAATTTATATCTCAATCCGTTTATAGGTATGCGATTGTAATGAATCAATGTGTGACTCTTGTTGACCTTAGTTGAAACTATATATATATATATATATATATATATATGCTGCGATGATGTGTATTTCATCTCGTTCCATTTGATGCACCATTGCTTAATCTATTGTACATCTTTAGAAGATCCTGAAGAGTATTTGTAGACTGAGAGTAGAATTTTGTTGCTTTGCGTTCAGAAGACTGGATGGATTAATTGTAACTTTTCCTAATTATCATTCTATACAAATGATCACTACTGAATCACAAAGGTAGTGATAGAGTGTCGGAAATAAAGCATTTAGCTCACAGAAAGTTGCATCAATAAAACGGGTTAGGGGAAAAGTTATCTCGAGGTGTTATCGTACTTCTTATGGGATATAGTGTTCTGTGCACACATTCGCCTATTTCCTGTATGCTCTTTGCATAGTTGACCTATTTGTTTAGTTTTTTAAAACACCCTCTGTCATTGAGTCGTATTTCATCACGTTTATTCATGTGCAAAGTATTGGTTACACTTCCACCTTTCAGTTGGAATGTAAGTACATTTATTCATGATGAATAATGCTCACAAATCAAAGTAAGTTAACTATGCCTTCAAATTGCAGCAAAAAAGATTTATGCTTGCAGTTTTTACTTCAAAATATATCCTTACAAAACACAGACAGAAACAGCAAAATTAGAACTGCCTACTAACCAGCCGTAGGAGGTGAATTGTGCCGCTGTTACCTAACATATGACTAACCTTACATGATTAGATGATGACAAACACCAGACCGATCTTGTTCTCTGTAGGCTTCCAAATGTTTTAAGGTTAGGCAGAATGGTTTCTGGTGGTGTGATAACCAGGAGTATAATAAATTTCATTTGTCCTGTGTAAACTTTGCCCGTAATTGCTAGTTATTCTAGACTCCTACTACACTTATATTTAGTAAGCTGCACAACTCAAACTAGAGGAATACTAATTTCTCCGTTATTGTGTTCCGGCTGACATATCTCTCACGGCACACTTACAGATTCAGATTTCAGATTTGTTGTTTGAGGATAGGAGGCTGGGATCCTATATCACTCCTTTTCCAGTAGATTTATGTGCTTATCCAATCTCCTTCTGAACGAAATCAGTTAATGATGTGGACACCACTTCTTCTGCAAGTCGGTTCCAAACGTTCGTTACTCGACGTGAGAACCAGTACTCTGAAGAGACTGTATTCGTTTATGCTTTTGTAGGCTCTTACTGTGTCCTCTGAGGTGTTCCGACCAAGTGGGAAGGAAAAGAGAAGATAGATTAGATCTGAAGTCATTTCTTAGAATTCTGTACATCATGATTAGGTCTCTCCTCTGTCTGCGATGAGATGAAGCGAAGAGGTTTAGCCCCCTAAGTTGGTCTTCATAGGTGAGGCCAGGCATCGCAAGGATTATACGAGTGGTTGCCCCCTGAACTCTCTCTGGAATATCTGTGTCACCTTTCAGACAAGAGTTTACGGCCTGTACACAGCTTCGAGTTTAAACCTAACTAAGGATGTGTATAAGATGGTGAACATACTACCACTTATTTTCGTAAACGTTCTACGTAATGCCCAGAGAATCCTAAGACTTCGAGCTGCCACCAATCGACAGTGAGCCGTGGTTTTCAAATTATAACTCACAGTGACTCCTAGGTTATTGTGGATTAGTATGACGGTAAAGGAGTCCCATCAGTATGGCACGCGTTGCCATCTGCGTACTCCGCGTGCATGCTCACACACTTACCTGCATTGATAGGCATCAGCCACTTTTCTGACCAGTTAAACAAGCCATTCAGGACTGCCTGAAGCTCACGTATACCTTCATTGTTCCTAATTTCCCGCCAGACTTCTACATCATCAGCCTAGAGAAACATAGGAGATTTCGTGATGTTTGCCAGCTCATTTACGTACACGAGAAACAGCAGGGGGCCCAGGACTGAGCCTGGCCGCACTCCACTCTCTACCATCTTCCAAGCGGAGAGTTGAGAATTGATCCTAACTCTTTGCCTCCTACCAACAAGAAAGTCTCTTATCCATGCAAGCAGACTGCCACTGATTCCAAAACTTCCAAGTTTTCTGAGTAACCTGGAATGACGTACTTTGTCGAGCGCCTTACTAAAGTCAATGAAAATGACATCTGCCGGTATCTTATCATCCTTAGACTTGACCCAACTTTCTCTGGCTGTAAGACGGTTCGTCAAGCAAGAGAAATTTCCACGAAAACCGTGCTGTGAAGGAGACAAAAGAGTGTTGCTCTCTAGGTGGAGTATGGTGGCTTTCTTGGTTACTCTTTCCAAGATTTTTATTACAGTACTAGTCAAACGTGTCGGCCTGTAGTTTGATGAGAGCTGCCTAGAACCTGCCTTGAGGCATCCTTCCAGGCATAGGGGAGTGTGCCTTCTCTGAGAGAGTCTGAATATAGTGGTCAGTGGGCCGGCTACATAGAGTGCAAGGTCTCTGAGTAGCCTTGGGTGCAGCTCATCCTGTTCAGTTGATTTCTCTACGTCGAGAGTACTTAATGTCCGAAATACATCATTATGATCGACACTCACAGAGTTTATTCTGTTGGATATCAATGCTGCCGCCGTTGGATACCTGTCTACTGAGGATTCCTGTGTGAAGACCTCAGCAAAATATCCAGCCACGGCTTCTGCCTTTCCCTGTCGTCCTCAGTCAAACCGCCATTTTCTGTCCCATTGATTAGGGCGGGTATACCATGGCACGTCTCATTTCCATAGTTCATATAGAAAAATAACCTCTTCGGATGTTACAATGAAGCCTGGGCTAGACGTGTTTCAAAGCATATTCTAGATCAGTGGATAGCAGGTATGCACTTATTGTGCGCTTCTTTGTAATGCTTCACCACTTTGGGTGTACTGAGGTGGGAGGCAAGACTCCAAGATTCGAATTTCCTGGTTTGTCCACGGAGGACGGTGTTTCTGTCCCCTCGGAACAGTCCACGGAATGAACGGTCGGATCACTCGTGCATATGACTATTTGAAGGAGCACAAAGCACCCTCAACTGAGGCTTCTGGATTGACTATCAGGTCCCCCGAAATGGCTGCCAGATTAATAGCTTCCATATTCGATTCCCACATGTTTGGTCTGGCTGGGGCATCGCCTGGCACAAGACGTCTGCTGTGAATCTGAGGATGATCACAGCGTGATCACTTTTGCCAAGGGGTGCTAGATGCCGGATGAAGCGCACAGCACTTGTATGTGAGAGTACTAAGTCCAGAACTTGTGGGACATTCTGAGGATATCTGGTTGGTGTCCTAATGTGCTGTATGAGGGCTAAGAAAATTGATATTCACACTAACCGGTTGTCAAACGAGTTAGGTAGTGCTTTTGTTGTTGGTCTATCCCGGTCAACTGATGGTGCATTGATGTCTTCTACTACTAGACATCTGCATTTATCTGCCCAGAGGGCCAGCCTATTCAGGAGGAAGCCTGCCGCTTTGCATTCAGGGCTTCGATATATCACGATTACGTTAACATTTTGCCCCTTGCATTTTAGTCGGCAGCGCAGCATTTCGCATGTCCCACTTTCATATGCAACTGTTTTTACGGCTTTTACAGTTAAGTTATTCTTAACGTAAAGGATGACACCACCACGTTTGATCGCTAACCCGTCACTTCTAAAAGAGATGAATCCTGGTAAGTGTGTTTCACAGTTAGGGACCCATAAAGAGAACCAGATTCCTGAGATAGCAACGATGTCAGGGCTTTCGCTGCCTATCACATTACTAAGCTCAGTCTAATTGTTTAAAAGACTATGCGAATTTGTGTGCAAGACAACGAAACTACTTAAATGAGTTTCCGTCCTGTCCATAGAGGCCTCGGCACCATTTGTTGCCGAAACCTCATTACACGAAAACCCACTACTTTCGGATCTTGCTCTCCAGCTGCTAATCTTGATTCAATTCTGCCTTTACTTCTCGTTTTTTGACTTGATCAGCAACAGCCAGATCCTTTCCCACGAACACTCCAGGTCCTTGAAGACTGTGAGCATTATTCAGAATATGATTCCTCTCATCTGCTGACTTGAACACGACTTTAAGTAGCTGCAACTTATTTTCAGTAATGACTGTTTCCTGTTTTTCTACTCTATCTTGAGTAGGGTGACTCCTGGTATGTTTTCTGGTAAAAGCTGGTTTATCAAACTTCGTGCTTTGCCACGGTCATGTTCGAAACGTTTACGTGGTTCCGGGTCTCTACTTTCTTCCACTGTGTGGAAAATTACGGACTTGTCAAGTAGCTCTAATTTGTCTTTGCTGTGCCGAGTGATGATAGCTGGCTCAGTTACTGTTATTGGCTTTTTAGCTTGCCGTTTAGGCTTAGTTACTTGCAGTTTTTCAGAGTCGGGTATGCAAGGTCTGATAAAGCCTGGTCCAGTGACCCTGACAGCCTCAGGACGGACTTGCATCCCATTCTGTGTGAATTTCGTCAATGATTGGGTCGCCGAACTGGGTATGACCTGCGGCCTGCATGGTTCTGTCGCTGGAACTGATAGCTCTTCACTCCTGCTTCTTTTATCTGAAGTAGACCTAGTCTTACGGTCAGCAGGTTTTAGACTGGATCTGCCAGCCCTGGGAAGGCGAGATCCAGAAGATACTGGCTCCATCCCGCTTGGTGTAGTTTTTTCAAGTCGCTGTCAGCAAACCTAGTGGGTAGCCCACGCGCCCGACTTGCAGCTTGTTGTGAGACGTTCTTAAAATTTTGCACAGCGATCTGCGTGTCAATGGATGCCGTGTCGTTATCAATGTCATAGTTATCGGCTTTGACCTTTGACGACAGCTCCTTAGTTGTCGTATTTAGAAGTGTTTTTGCTTCTTCTACCAGGGTGCGAATATCAGAGCAGCCAGACACTTCCTGCGTTGCTGTACCTCTTGCACGCTGACAGTGTGAGGCTCGCATAGTTATCATGGAATCAACTCTTACATTCGTTACACTGTATACCGAAAGCCACTTTAAGGTGGCACCCGGCTCTATCACAAGCATTTTTACGGCACTTTCGGCTCACCATGAAGCAGAAATTGAATAATATTCCGACTAGAGCAAGAATACAACAGCCTTTGATGTGTAAACACAAAAATGACAAGAATCTAGCTGAATGTGAAAAGTCGCCCCCCTTTTCGAAAATAGCAGCTAAGCCAATACAAATAAGATGGTTCATAAAACCTTTCAAGGCAGCTACAAACCTTGCCTTGTTTACTAGTTCACTAGCAGGTCCTAAGTCTGAATAAGGAGGGAAGGTCGGCCGTAGGGCTAGCAACGCTATCCTGGAAAATCAATCCAATCGCTAAATAAACTTCAAAGCACAGACGAAACGTTAAAAATAAAAATAAACTTATTCCTCGCTGGAACTGGAGAGACGAAATGACTCCAGTTGGTGAAAGCCTTCGGGAAGCCAAATGGCCGATGTGTCTTCCCTCAATAAAAATGAAATTAAGAATGGGGACATAGAATGTCCACACAATGTTTGAACCTAGCAAGGCTGCCCAGATTTCAAAAGAAATGAGAAGATATAGCATGGAAGCCCTAAGAATCTGCGGGAGCAGATGGGATGGAAGTGGACTTTCCAAACTCTTAACTGAAAATAAATATGTTAAATAAATAAAAAAAAGTCAAGTATTGTCTTCTTGAGAGAACCTCGAGTTCAAACATGTTTAAACATGTTGAGGAGCGTAAGTAAGGGATTAAGAAACAATTTCGGATTTGAATATTATTC